GTATGTACTCGTTGGGTGAGCTGCTATACTAGCGATCGGAAGCGACGCATTGTGTCTTTTGAAGGGCGTTCGATATCAGACTGTTTCGACAAAGTCACCAAAACATTCGTTCTGGTGCTGGCAGACGTCCAATGACGACAGCGAAACAGTCGAGTGGAGCAGAGCAAGATGATGTCGAGCAGGAAAACGAGTGAAGTCGATCAATCGATCGATCAGTGATAGATTGGCCATCCATCGCCGCCGTCCACCCGTTCGCTGGTCGGTTAGAAACGGATGTAATTGGAAATCTACCCGTACGGCGCAATTTCTTAATCGTCACATTAGCCGACCGACCGGCCGACCAACGCACAGTAGAACGTCAATAAAAGAATCGGCGGCACCAACCGCAGCGACACAGATTTCCTCGAAAACAACAAATCGAAACTTCCCTAAGTGTCTGTCTCATTGCAGAAACCGCTAATTTAGCCAAAAGAGCCAAAAAGCGAATGAAGTGCTTACGAAAACACGGCTTCCGCAGATCGTCATCATAAATCACAATCTTCACGCCTACCGTAAACAGCTAAATTTCTAAGTTTACCTGAAAATCGAGTTGTATAAAAGCGTCGGTTAGGGAATACAGGTCCGATTATTTCTCCTTTTTTTGGTTGCCTGTTGAATCCGCTATTTTGAAATTTTAGGCAAAAACTTATATATTACCACTAGGCAAAGGCGAAATATCTCAGCATTGTTCTAACCCAGCTAAATCACTAATTTGTGAAACGCCACTTTTGTCAAGTAAAATGTCAACAACCACGACATGGCGCAAAACATTCATGTTTAAAGTAGCCAAACAGTTTTAATTTTCGGCACCCGACTAAAGTAAAACGTGTTGAAACGGCGAATGAATTTCTCGATAGACTTAAGTCAAGAACATTGTACGACGATAAGGCAAATGCCGTTGATTTGCGTCCTCGAAACGGCGTCAGATGTTGTCGATTTTTCAGTATCCTCTGCATCTGAAAGATGATCATGATCGATTTGTCAACGAAATTTTCTGCGTGGCTGCGCAGTAAATGTTGGCGTTAGCTACGCGCGTTAGCGTGTGATAAAATGCGAACTGTCCTAAAAACAAGTTGGATGAATATTGTTGAATTTTAGAAGCAAGGAATTCGCGAATGCTACCACTGCACGGTGTCGAGTAGCCAATTATGCGCGTAGTTTCCTAATCGATTAACCGCTTTATTTTTTCGAAGGAAATCGAATCGAATCGAACATCTTTAGTAAAGCCACTGCCAACTATATATTAGCCACGCCGACCCTCTTATACACGAAAAGTAGGTAAGCGTATACTTAAATTCGTTCGATCACGATTTTGTTTGCCATTATTTTGTCAGTTGTTTTACAAAAATTTTAATCCACATTGTTAACTCCGTTTAAAGAATAGAATAGTCGAAATTTGGTTCACGATTATCGGTATTATAAATGTAAAATATGAACATCA